AAATGTCGTCAATGTACATCACAATCTACATTCGCCCCTGGACTACCCTCCTAAGCTCTGTGTCGTCGACGGAGCAAACGCCCTCGCAATGACGGAGTCCGAGGACACAAGTCCACCACGAGATACCGTCGACGCCACACTGTCCGTACTTGAACAGACTAGTTTTCAAATCTATTCCCAGGGCCACTGTGCTTGTTATGGAAGGATCTGAATCTTTCTTTATTTAATACTATAATCACCGCCGCTGAAGCCAAAGACGATAAACGATCAAAGACTAAAAGCCCGCTTTGACTCGAGTCGGTAAAGTCAAAGCTGCGCCTGCGACCCCGAAGCAGAGGAGCGGAGGCCGAAAGCCCCAATGGCGGGAATGCTCGGCGTTGGCGCCACCCGTTCCCGCCTCCTCCCCTCCCCGCTCCCCCTATTTACCAGGCGCGCTCCCCTCCACCTCGCGCCCCACCCCAACCCCATCTCCCGCCGCCTCCTGCTCCTCCCGTCAAGAACCCTCGCAGCCGCAGCGACGACGATGGCCGCCACCAACGGCGCCACCGCCGCCGCCGACCCCGTCCAGGAGCAGCCCAAGGCGGCGGCGCCGCTGCTGCTCAAGGTGAAGCGCCTGTCGGCCAACGCCGTGCTGCCGTCGCGCGGCTCCGCGCTGGCGGCCGGCTACGACCTCTCCAGCGCGGTGGAGGCCGTGGTGCCGGCGCGCGGCAAGGCGCTCGTCGCCACCGACCTCAGCGTCGCCGTCCCGGAGGGCACCTACGCGCGCGTCGGTACGCGCCCCTTTCCTCGCCATCCTCTTTCACGATCCCGCCGCCTCACATCTGCCGTGCCCTTAACGTGTTTGATGAAATGCTTGCTGCTGCAGCGCCGCGGTCGGGGCTGGCGTGGAGGCACTCGATCGACGTGGGCGCGGGCGTGGTGGACGCCGACTACCGGGGCCCCGTCGGCGTCGTGCTCTTCAACCACTCGGACGCCGACTTCGCCGTCAAGCCCGGGGACCGCGTCGCGCAGCTGGTGGTCGAGAGGATCGCCACGCCGGACGTCGCCGAGGTGGACGACCTCGACGCCACCGTCAGGGGCGAGGGCGGCTTCGGGTCCACCGGCGTCTGATGCCCAGCCTCGACGGAAGGCAAGGCAGGCGTATCTATCTAGGTGCTGATGGTTCATGGTGAAAGAGCTGCTGGCTGGAGGCGACCTGTAGCTATGTGTTCCAATGGGAAGCACTGTCATTTCTGAATTTACTTCCATGTTAGCCAGGGTAGATGTAGTAAGTATGCAGTCTCTTTTCTCTTGGATGGCTTGGATTATGGTTACGGTGAAGGATCTCAATTGTAACCATGTTTCGTGTTCTTCTGAATTCCATGGGAATTTCTGGATGGCTAGGGCTATATGCATCACAAATTCTGAATTTCAGGATGGCAGAATGTGCAGTACAGGAAAGCAGAGCACACCGAAATTCAGTTAGCACTCCTACAAACTGGAATTCGCCAAACTGGCATATCAGACTCAGCGCCAGATGGTAGTTCCCAGTTCAGCAAACAAAAACATGTCCGGGACAAGTTACTAGGACTAAATTCAGAGAGAGCCCTGTCCTCCCCTAGCGACAAATCTAGGGTTAGACCGTCCTCCGGCGCGTGCCAACTTGTTGGTCCTATGGGCAAGGGAAGCCGTCGGACTTTCGGTACCATAAGTTTGAACGTTTGGAACTTCTGAATCTTGTTTGAATCATGTGATGCAATATATGTTTGCATTGAACCCGCTGTGTTCTCTTGTATAACTCTAAGGGATATACGGTTCATGGCACGGTGTCTCATGCGCGTTATACCAAAGACTGGCATACTACACCATGCATTGGTATATGCAAGGTCGCTGCATCCCCATGAGTGAATGATTCTGCGAAGCTGGTTGCAACCGAGATAAATATGAGAAGCTGCACCCCATCGAGATTGTGGAGCGTCCCGTTGCCGGCAATACTTTTATCGAAGGTAATGGAGCCGATGGTATTAGTAGTATTTCCTAC